GGGGGGGGGGGGGGGGGGTCATCCACTTTCCATTCTAATAATACTCCATGCATTTTTGAGATTGCTCCTTTGTATTAGGAAGGGTACCTAATAATAATTTTTCCAAAACAGTTAAATGAGATGCTGTCTTCTTTATATTCTTCTTATTCAAAACAGATTTAAATTAGAGCCATGTTAGCCAAGATAGATAGGAATCTATTTGTAACTCAGTCTCTTCTTTACTATGTAGCATCTTCTTATTGTAGAAATTTCTTACAGTACTCTATTGCTGCTGAAATCTCTTCAGGGCATCAATTCTGTTGAGCTGTCCAGATGATAGAATCCTGGGGATACCAGTAAAGGTGTTGGAGGGAAGATGCCTTCTATCAAAGCTGCATATCATTATTTCCAAACCTGAAATGCAGCTTTTGTGAACATATTATTTATATTACCTGTTTTATAAACTCTTTTGGAAGAAAAAACATCTGGCTTATGGAATTATTTGTCTCCTGTATAGTTTCTACCTCTATCCGTTGTCTTGTCAGATGTGAAAGGAATAATATGATCCAAATGTGCTGCCTAATAATGCAATTGTAAATATGGAACACCCCATCCTCCTTGTTTCTGAAATCTATATATGATCTTTCTATTAATTCTTAACTTTTTAGTATTGAAAGAAAAAAGTTAAATTTTTCTTTGCCATAATGCTAATATTTTATCCAACACCTCTACTAGAAGAGTTTGAAATAAAACTGTAGTTTTGAAAGACCCATCATTTTAACTGCTGCAATTTGACAGGATATTTAAATATTGTTTATCCCAAATTTTCTTTTTTTTAATGTATATTTTTAAATTATTATTAAACATTCTGTTAATGTTTTTGGTGATATTTATTCCTAGATATCTGAAGGATTCCTTTCCATGGGTAAATTTAAAATACTAGTTATCTCTATTTGTATTTGAGGAGAGGTATAGAAGAACATCAATTATCACTTTTGAATATTTACTGTTAACCCTGATACTTCAGTACATTCTTTCAATTTCATCTTAATGCATTTAGATGTATTACTAGAATTTACACATGTTAATATCATATTGTCTACAAGTAAATTTAATAGATAATTTTTATCTATTTTAATTTTACTGGTGTCCTGAAGGGGCTTGAAGAACTGGTTTTTTTCTCAGGCCTTTAGCAAAGGTGAGTGAGGACCCCTTGGATTCTTTTTTCCCGTTCCAGTCCAGTTCTGTCATCTTACTATCTTTTATTTCCTATGTTTGTTTTTTATTGTATTTCTTTAATGCTTTTTTCTTACTTGTGAGCTACCCAGAGTCATTGGGAGTCAGGCAGAATACAACTTTAATAATAAAAAAGAAATAAAAAACAAAAATATTTTTATCTCTTTAATTTCCTTATTGCTACAAAGAGCTAATGTTTCTAATGAACATTATAATAATGAGGTTAAATAATAAGGGGGATAATGTATAGCCCTGCTTGGTACTTTCTGATACTGGGAATGGTTCAGAATCATAATTATTAATTTTTATCTGGGCATTGCTAATATTATAAATCTGATTTATCAAAGTAATTGCCAAAAGCAAATCTTTTAAAAATTAGTTTTCAAAATAGTCCTTTTGGACAATCAAAACTTTTACCTAACGAACATATCAATAAAGAATTCATGTTAATTTTACAAAAATGAATAATATTTAGTAATTTTCCGATGGGCTAGATATATTCCTTTTTGGAATAGAGGCTGATCTTTCCTACAATTCATTTAAGACGGTTGGCTAATAGTTTAGTATAAAATTTATAATCAAGATTAGGAATAGAGACACTTCTAACAGGTCTTTATCTGGTTTAGAAATTAAAGTTATTTTAGAATTGTGCCAGGATAAGAGAAGATGTCCCTTATGCAGTGCATCACTTAATGACAAAAATTCTAGTATAAGAATATCTTTAAATGCCTTATAGAATTCATTTGTTAACCCATAAAAGCTTGGAGATTTTCCATTTTTTACAATTTTAAAAACTTATTCAACTTCTGATTGAGAAAATGGAGAAACCAAGTATTAAGTACCCATTAAAGATAATTTTGGGAAATTCAGTTTATCTAGCTACCTATTACTTTTTTTCTATTGCAGGGTTTTAGAAGTATTTATATTTATTTATTTATATATCAAATTTGTCACCGCCCATCTCATTGAAAAGCAACTCTGGGTGGTTTACAAGAAGTTAAAATAAATTAAAATACAATATAAAAACAATCTTAAAAATAATTAGATTCCAAAAATGATGGAATTGGTACATAACTCAGGAGTGACATCAGGGCCCCAGCCACCCCCGAGACTGATTAAAACTCTTATCACTCCAAGCAAGCTGGCAGAGCCAGGTCTTAAGTCCTTTCTGGAAAACCGGGAGGGTAGGGGCTCGCTGCACCTCTTGGGGGAGAATATTCCAAAGGGTGGGGACAACAGCAGAGAAGGTTCTCCTCCTGGGCCCCACCAGCTGACATCCTCTCGTTGACAGGGTCTACAACATGCCCTCTCTGCCTGACTGGGTGGGACGGCTGATATAGTGGGGGTGAGAGGGTCCCTCAGGTAACCTGGACCCATGCTATGTAGGGCTTTAAAGGCGATAACCAACACCTTGAATTGGACCCGGAAGCAGACTGAGACCCAATACAGTTCTCGCAAGAAAGGTGTGATATGTGCCATCCTAGGGGCACCCAAGATTGTTTGTGCAGCCACATTTTGAACCAGCTGTAGCTTCCGGATACTCTTCAAGGGTAGCCCCATGTAAAGCACATTGCAATAGTCTAACTGAGAGATGACCAGGTCACGAGTGACTGACTGGAGAGCCTCCTGATCCAGGAATGGGCTTAACTGGCGCACCACACGAAGGTGGGCAAAGACCCTCCTGGCCATGACTGCTACCTGCTCCTTGAGCAGAAATTGTGCATCCAGGAAGACTCCCAGATTACACACTGGGTCTGTCTGGGGCAGTGCAACATCATCCCAAACCAAAGATGGTAAATTCCCAGATACAGAGATACCTCCAATTCACAGCCACTCTGTCTTACCGGGGTTCAGCTGTAGTCTGTTGCACCCCATTCAGACCCCCACAGCCTCCAAGCACCATGACAGGATGGTCACAGCATTACTCAGGTCACCCGGGATGGAGACGTATAGCTGGGTATCATCTACATATTGATGATACCTCATCCCATGGTGGCAGATAATCTCACCCAGTAGTTTCATTTAGATGCTAAAAAGGAGCGGAGAAAGTACCGAACCCTGCGGCACCCCACAAAGGAGGGGCCACAGGCTGGACCTCTCGCTCCCAATCAATACCAATTGGAATCAACCTTGGAGGAAGGAAGAGAACCGGCACAAAACTGTGCTGCTCACTCCCAGCTCTCCAAGTCGACTCAAAAGGATACCATAGTCAACGGTATCGAAAGCCGCTAAGAGGTCAAGAAGAGCAAGGATGGATGCACTACCCCCATCCTGCTCCCGCCAGAGATCATCCACGAGTGCGACCAATGCCGTTTCCATCCTGAATCCAGCTTGAACCCTGACTGAAAAGGGTCCAGATAATCCGTTTCCTCCAGGATCCTCTGGAGCTGCAATGCCACCACCTTCTTGTCCAGATAATCCGTTTCCTCCAGGATCCTCTGGAGCTGCAATGCCACCACCTTCTTGTCCAGATAATCCGTTTCCTCCAGGATCCTCTGGAGCTGCAATGCCACCACCTTCTTAATCACCTTCCCTAAAAAAGGGAGGTGGGAGACTGGACGAAAATTGTCCAATATGGTGGGATCCAGTGATGGTTTCTTGAGGAGGGGATGCACCAGCATCTCTTTAAAGGCAGTTGGGAATACTCCCTCCCCCAAGGATGAATTGCCTGTATACAATTGCCTGTATTCAATTCCTTAAAAAAATCTACAAAATGTTTACTTATATACAGTACCAAAAGTCAAACCCTATAAACGAAGTTAGGCTCCATAGACAATGTATTATATCAATTACAATAACTGTTTGAATTGCTTGTGATTTTCTTCTAAACCAGGGTTTCCCAAACTGTGAGGTGTACCTCCCTTGGGGAGGTGCAGATAGAATCCAGGGGAGGTGTGAAGAACCTTATAGTTGTACCCCTGTTCTAAATACTTTCTTATTCATTTGACACATGACCTTTGAACATTTCTAAGTATAGTAACATTTTCTTTTTACAGTCCATAAAATACTATATTTTGACTCTGATACAATTCATCTTTCCTACTAAATCAGTTGCCTTACTGCTCAGACCACTGCAAGCTAACATGGAAAAGACTGAGATGATTGGACCTAGATGAATCACAACGATTTCTGTTCACAATTCCCCCATTTGCATATATATTCTAATTTAAATTTTAATACAATAATGGATACATATAAAAATTCTAGGAGATATACTGATTTATGAAGAGATTTTTCACTTTCTTACATCTCTAATTGCTATTATATTTAATATCACAGCCAGGAAAAGAAAATACCTGTTTTCCTGGACACTTCTTCTTCATCACCTACTTCATCCTCTGTGACTTCAGACCCAGTTGTGTATTCATCATCTTCTGAAAGCAGCAACTGTTGTTTCTATCATAGCCAGGGGAGAGGGAGGAAATTAATGAATACCACTCTTATCTCCAAATAACAATAGACTGTTAATTAACAGGATTTACACAATAAATTAGAAAGAAAAACTGATTAGTTTAAAAATTGAATTTTCTGGTCTCTTCATCTGGTATATATCTTTGAAAACTATTCCATATACAAGCCTTAGGGAGTCTTGGGCTTGTGCATTACAGGTAGTCCTTGACTTGTGACCATTTGTTTAACGACCATTCAAAGTTATGATGGTGCTGAAAAAAGTGACTTACGACTAGTCCTTGCACTTACAACCATCATAGTGTCCCCACCGTCACATGATCAACATTCGGGTGTTTGGCAACCATCATGTATTTATGATGGTTGCAGAGTCCTGGGGTCATGTGACCACCATTTGCAACCTTCCCAGGGGGCTTCTGACAAGCAAAGTCAATGGGGGAAGCTGGATTCACTTAACGACTACACGATTTGCTTAATGACCGCAGTGATTCACTTAACAACCATGGCAAAAAAGGTAATAAAATCAGGTGTGACTCACTTAATGATTGCATCGCTTAATGACAGAAGTTTTGTCCCAATTGTGGTCATAAGTCAAGGATTACCTGTACTCACAGAGCTCTAGGTTTCACTTTCTACCATATCTGAATTTTAAAAATTCTAATTTTCCCATCCTATTTATGATCGAATGGAAATAGTGTAGAGAATGTGTGCTATATTCTCCTTTCCCCGGCTCCCACAAGCAGTCCAGAAATCTCACTCCATACTAGCTGAAATTCCCAAACTAGCATTTAAAAGACATTAAATAGCAGTGATGAAGCTAGGGCAAGAATGGCAGGTTTTCTTGTCAATAGTACTTTCTTATCTGAATCAAATATTAGTTTCTTTTTCTATCACCAATCCCAGACACATCTTCAACCTTATATAACTTTCAGGATTAGTAGGTCAAATGAGAGAGCTTCATGACATTCTTATATTGAAACTGTAGTCCAAACCTCCTTCACATACATGTTAAAAAACTGGAGAGACAACAAAGAACTTCAGAAAATCACCAAAACTACTGGCCATCTAATGAAATAGCTCTCCAGCAGTTTTGGGTCTGGAGCTAACACAATACTGTGCTCCCAGTCTAATCTCAGCTAGTCAGCTCAGAAAGATGCCATAATTGAAGGTACGGAAAGTGGTAACAGAGTCAACAGAACTAACAGGGTTGCATTCCAGATGTTAATTATCTGGTGTAAGTAATCCACCAGGATAACCAAGGCTGTCTCTGTACCCTATACAGGGTCAGAAACCAAACTGGAAATAATCTAAAAAACAGAATGCTTGTCAATAACCATGGTTCTTTCAATGGTCATCAATGCATTCACAAAACTGAGGTTCTGTACCAATGTAGATAGCTGTTGAGAATATTTCTAGCATTATTGTCTTATTAAAATTGTTATTATCTAGCATAATTAAATAATTAGCCTTCATCCATCTCCTGAATTCCTCAATTTCTAGCCAGACTTACTTTCAATGAGAATGGTACTAAGCTAAGAGGGTGCATGGAGCCAGAGGATGGGTTGTGTAATGAAAAAAGGATTACCTGAAGAAATGTATAAGTAAGCAACTTGTTCTTCATAGTCCCCAAACTCACACCAATCAAAGAGTAAGCCATACTTGCAGGACGTATGGCATGTAATGAATTACAGGATTGTAGGCAGGTCAGCCCTGCATAAGAATGTTTCTGCTATCACTCACACATCATGTCTATAATATTAGATAAACACAAGGCCTTGGTCAGATTACAAATCACAAGAAGGGGAAATCCTTCAGGAAAGCAATGGATATTGCTATCATCTGGGCTGAGAGTGAGCATACCCATTAAGGAGGTGATAGATGCATCACAGGTAGAGAGTCAATATGTCTGGATAATATGAAAGGCCATGCTAGTCACTGCAAAAAATATGAAGCAATGGGACAGATATGACACCAACAGGACCTTCAACTTCTGCCCAACCTCCCTTAAAGGACTTCTCATTCAGCAACCTGCAGAACAGAACATATGGTCACTCTCCAAGAAGACCATCACGATCCCTTCTCTCTTGGCCTACTTGAGGCTGGTGTAAAACCTGAACCTCAGCTGGACAAATCTTAGACAGACCTCCTCATCCAGCAAAGTCTCAATAATGCATGATAGATCTACTCTCTCCTTCACTATTAAGTCATGGAAGAGCAAAAACATATTTCAAGTGGATTTGACATTCAACAGCACCAGTCTGAGGCCAGGTCCTCCAACAATCCAGCATCCAGGACCCTGGTATGAAGTTGAGGGACCAGAAAGAAAGATTGACACCAAATTTCCAGTTCCCTTATCCCTTTTAACAGCTTGTCCTATGTCTTCTAATATATCTCCTGCTGATCACTGTCTCAATCTTCCCCCAACTTTCTATTCCATTAGTCCCCACAACTCTCACAAATGAAGATCATCTTTTCACTTGTTGGCATCTGTTTACCTTCCGTATAATATCACTTCCTGAAGATCACCCTGTCATCTAGTATATTGGCTACCCTTGCTGGGCAAGGCCCTGGATATTCCCCTCAGAGAACCTCCTTACACTAGATTCCAATTCACCCAATTAGGCTTCTAACTCCAGGATTTTCCCCCTGCCTTTATTCCTGAAACTACTCTCCAGGTTCTGTCCCTATGCTTTCCCAGTGGTCACTCAGTTGGAGGGATTTTCACCCCAATCACAGGGTTCTTTCTCCATCACCCTTGGTCTATTCATCAGCCACCCCAGCAAGAGCGTTCCTTGTCCATATCTCCAGAAACAACCACTAACTTAAAGTTATGAGTGTTGAACTCCTTTAAAATTGATGAAAACTGCAACTCCACAGAATTATCCTCTCCTTGTCCAATTTGTCCTTCTGGGAATGGTGATTGCCAAACCACTTCCTCTTCTATCTTTATGCCCCCTCCCATCCTCAACAATGGCGGGAAATTGTTGTTTGCAGTTTTTATCCCAATTTTTCCTTGACTAATCTTCCTCTCAGAAGCTTCTTTCCAACTAGTCTCATTCACAGACTGTTTCTTAAAAAGAAACCGTCCACCATCTCTATCCCTCTTTCTACCTATTACAATCTTCTACATTCACCATCCAGCTCCATCCTCTCAATCACCTCCACATTCTGCTCTACAATGTTGGTTCCTGTTTACTTATTCCTTCTTTCTAATCTATTTCACCTCATACCTTTTCCAGTATAAATATTATACTTCTCCTACAGCCTTGTCTGCCACAGTTCCTCCTTACAGCCATCTGCAGCCACTCTCCCTTCTGTATCTCAGGTCAGAATCTGCAATAAGTTGCAAAACCAGCAAATCACAGGGTCCATCAACAAATCCTCCTCTTCAACAGTAACTTTTCAGACTTTCCACATAAAGTATATGATTCCATTCAGGGTGCCATTCAGATCTTAATACAGAGTGACTTAATTGCCATCATGGAATGTGCTCAGTCACCATGATAGGAAAAATCCTTACACAGATGTAGACAGAGCTTTGCACAGGCACAGAATCCAGATGTGAATCACACAGACCATGATTAAGAATCAACTAATGTTTGGTAACTATGACTAGAAGACAACTGTGATATAAATGAAAAACCTTTGAAAGCATAGGTATATAGCCATCAGTGCCATGACCTTCAGGAAACTAACGAAGTGCTGTGGAAAATTCAAATATAAGCATTTGAAACTGGATATGGAAGAAGCACAAGTGATGATGACTAGCATGGATGGTAATGTTAAAATAATAGACATTTCACAAGGCCACTGATGCAAATCAATCTCCTGGATGCCATAGTCAAAATCTATGGAAGAACAGATACACTTAAAGGCCATCAAGTGACATTTAGTTTGTCAATTAAGGTGCCTCAACCACTTATTCTGTTCCTACAGAAATAGAGAGTTGGCCTGGATTGCTCCTGTATGTAAAAGTTCTTGAATCTCCATTTGCAAAGCAGGGAATGGTTGGGATGTTCTAATAAAATCCAAATGGGGACACTACAAAAACTCCAAGAAGTAGCCAGTCCAGATGATGGTTAAGATCTGATAATTTGAGTTTATTGCTCTTAGGAAATTCCATAGCATTGGAATCTAGGGTGAGAAAAATCAGGCATTCAGACAAAAACACTGCCCATTTATTCTATATATGTCACATCATAGCAGGAAACCACTGTGAGGATTATCTGCTGCATGATTGGTCAGTGATTCTTGCAGTTTGGCAATTTAGATGAAATAGAGAAGGCAGACCACCCTATGCCTGCGAGTCCTGACAACAAGGCTGGTACCACTAAAAAGAGTGGAAGTGCTGATGATTCATTCCCACATGACTTGCTGGGATTCTCTTTTGGATTCTGCCTAGCAAAACATTTATTTACTTATGTAGTCACCTATTTTAGAACTAAACAGCCCTCATCATCAAAAGGAAAAGCCTCTATATTCCTGCACTACAAATCTCAATCATGTGTAGTGACTCAGAGTAGCAGTGATCAACATGTTTAGAAGTCCTATTATGCTTCAAAACAGCCTCTCTCATCCAAATTCGCAGATTAGGAGGGACACCATTTTCTTTCATAGAGAGTTAATATTGAGCTGCACATGTCCGATGATTTGCACCACGAAATGCTGCAGGTAGTCCTTGCTATCTGACCATTTGTTCAGCGACTGTTCGAAGTTACGATGGCTGAATGAAGGGACTTTTGACATGACCTGAAGTTATAGCAATCTGGGCCCTTGGCAATTGGTTCACCCATACAACCAGTTGCCAAGCACCTCATGATTGAGTTATCACCACTTGCAATCTTCCCTGCTGCCTGCCAGGAAAGTAGCCGGCAGGGAAGGTTGCAAACCACTGTCACCTACCAAGAGGACTCCCTCTCTTCTCTGAGGGCTGCCTGAAAAAGCTCCATGATGAAATCCAGAATATCAGCACAGGGCATTTTCAGGCAGCCCTGAAAATCTTTGTGATGAAATCAAAGTAGGATTTTGGCATGGGGAGTTTAGCACAGAGGCCCTCACACACCTGACCCACACCACACCCTTGTGCACCTGACCTGACCCTCCCATGCACCCCCAGGCTCCCTTCCCCGCCTGGCAGTGCCCGGGGCTTGCAATTTCCTGCCGGCTTCCCCACTGACTTGATTGTGGAAAGCTGGCAGGAAGTTGCCTTGCCTAATGACCAGGACGTTTAGTTAATGACGACAACTGGGACTGCCGGGATTGCAGTCGCTAAGCGATGCAGTCACATGATGTTTTACCTTAATGACCACATCCCTTAGCAAGGACTACCTGTAAAGTCATAGTTGAGAAAGATAACCTAGTGAAATCCAATGAAATTATACTGGTAAAATGAAAATTGTCACCTTGAGCTCCTGAATGGAGCAGGATATAATAAATAAATGATAAATACAATAATGAATTAATTATCAATCAATCAATCAATCAATAAATATAAAGGAAAAAACAAAGAAAGGGAAAGGGAAGAACAAGACCAATAAAGTCTACACATTCAAGTATAAGCCATATGGAGAACACTCAACAAGGCCATCACCACTATAGCAGTTGAAAGAAAACGCAAAAGACACCTTCTAGGGCACTTGGGATGGTGTGAAGGAGACTCCTTAAAGCTCAGCTAATAACTTTCCAAATAACATTGTGACTCTAACCTTTCCTGCCAAAAACTTGCAATTTTTCACAAATTATCTACCATATTTCTATCCTAATACTTGCTAAAGACAGTGGTTTAAATTAAGTTTCAAAGGAGTTTCCATGAAAGCAGGACCATAGTGTAACACAAGTAACTAAACATGCAGAATACTGAAAATGAAGGAATTTTATCTCATGGAATTTAAATAATTAAGATAAACATACCAGCTGGAGAGTCCAGTTTTTCAGAGAAAGGAACTAGAGAAAAGAAAACCAGGGCAGAAGTGAGAGTTAGGGAATGTGGCAAGTCTACTGTTAGCAACTTTAAAGGGATCCAATGCATGCACAAAGGACAATTCTCCTGTTCCAAGACAAAAGAATGGTAATGATACAGAACACCCCTCCTGCTCCCCTAAAAAGGAGTGGTATAAATCAGCAGTTCTGGAGAATGTGAGGATATGATAACTTAACTGGGAAAAATTCAAATTCATAATATGATGTATTAAATTGTTATTTGAAAGTTCATCTTGAGCTGGATTTTGTTCTTTGCTACAAAATCATCTCAAGATATAAGGTACACAAGGAAGCAATATTCCTCAAAATTCAAACTAACATATTTTCTTTATCAACCAATGGTATCACAATCCTGTCTGCAATCGTGATAACACAGAGTCACCTTGCATACAATGATCAAATTAGGTTTTTCAGCACTTGAACAATTTGATGTTTCACGAATGTGCTCAGTGCTCTTGTGTTTCACTCACCTTTTCAAAGTTTGCTTTAATGAATTATTTTCATTTGCAAGCAAGCGTTCATTATATCTAACACGGTATAGTTTTTGTGAAGGCAGTTAATAAAAGGAGAGGACAGAGTGTGGGAAGGGAACAGAGGGCGCTCATTCACATACAATCAATTTGGTAGTACATGATAACTGATTTCTTCAGCCAAAGACTTGGGTCTCAGCAGCTTTTCCTCCTTGGAAGGAACTTGGCCAATCCGAGATGAAAAGCAGAAAGAAATAGGCATCTATGCATGCAAACTGGCGTCCAATTCATTGATTTGCTAGAAAGAAAGTATTCCCCATACATACTGTACTTATTCATTCATCTAAAGACACTAAGGTCAATGTGCTTCTCTTGAAGTATAAGTGAGGATATCTGCGATTCTCCAAATATTACTAGATTACACTATTCCTGATTGTTGCTCAAGCTTGATGGGAGTAGAATCCAACAACATCTGGAAAGCCACAAATTCCATACATCTGTCTTAAAGAAAGTGTCTCTCTGAATTTATTCCACTAAGTTGGAATAAGCAGAGTGCTATAACTAAATGGAAATTTAAACATAGGGGGAAAAACCAAAATTACTCACAGCATTAATTTCTCCTGCTTTGGGCCCCCATGATGAATTTGGCTCCAATAAATTATCACATTCAATACCCTTCTCATCATTCAGCCCTATTCCAGAATGGCTTCAAAAAAAGAAACAGCTATGTTATTCTAATCAGAATTCTGCAGGCAGATGAGTGTCCAAAAGAGAACATATAAAAAAGTCAAAATATGAAATCAGCAGAGAAAACAGTTCATGATGCTTTATTATGCACAGTAATGTTATGGATTCCAGAGAAGGTTATTTAATTGGTGGCATAAGTCTAGAAATTATTTTACATAGATAAATAGTAACATATACCTATTTTCTTACCTGTTCTGGTCTTTTGAAAAAGGCAGAACAATAATATTTCGGTGCTGAATCAGATCATTCAGTATTTTAGCTGTCTGATAGGGCACATTATCCCCACCTTCACCTCCAGCAGGCAAGCCAATCACATGATCCCTCACTTTACATCCCTTTCATTAAAAAAGAACCGAGAGTGATACCCAGTGAGACAGATGACTTGCTTAAGGTAGACATAATCACAAAAATTTTAAAAACAAAGACAAAATAATTTCTCAGTGGCATAGTGGTTGTAACAGTTGCTTAGCATGCATAATATCCCTAGAACCCAACAGAAACATATTTTGGAGAGCCAGTGTAATGTAGTGGCTAATGTATTGGACTAGGAATGAGGAAAATGAGGTCAGTGGCAACTGCAGTGGGGGGGGGGGGCAAAGGGGGCAGAATGGTGGAAGTAGCAGTGCAGCATCATGATGCAAGCCCTGCCCCTTTTATATACGTGCTGTTATGTTGCACTCACATATCAACGGCGCAGAACTGATGACACGATACTGCTTTTGACATTTTGACAAACGCAGCAAGATTCTGTGGAGATCTACTTTCTAGGTTCTAGTCCACCCTCTGCCATGAAAGCTTACTGGGTGTCTCTCAGCCCACCTCCCTCATAGGGTTGTTGTTGTGGGAAAGTAGGCCTTGTACTGCACTTAGGTATCTGTGCATATTGAATAAAAATACTAAATATTAACATTAGTGATTTGAAAGTAATTCAGTGTTTCAGATTCTAGTTCAGGCCAATTCTTATTTTGGTATTCGGAATCATGCCTCACATAATAAAACCAGTAAAATAAATACATAAACCAAATTTGCATACTGCTTGGATACCATTCATTTAAATAAATCTACAGTAGCTCATTAAAAGTGCATGAAAGCCTTGGGGCTGGAGTGGAGAGGAAGGGCATAAATTGGTTAAATACTAAGTGGCGGGAGCAGTAAGATTTCAAAAGGTTTCTTCCAAATACATACTTTTGGAACAGGAGCAGGATCAAATCTAAGAACCTTTTGATTACAGCAGGGATATATTCCAGTGCCAGTGGAACCAAGACAACTTGCTACACCAGGATAGAGGACTGGTTGAGGGTGGTACTGGCAATGTGAAAACTCAGTGCACAGGAAAGTCTGCAAGAGACACCCAACAGCAACAAACATATATTACTACCATTACCCTTTTTGAAGTCTATATTTTTCCACTTAAAAAAGAAGAAAAGGTTTTCAGGCATGCTGCATGTCAGACTGGACACCTTGATATATTGAACTGTTCTTAAAAATAAATAATTCTTCAAAAACGCTACTGTATAAACTTTAAGACAACTGGAAATATCCTGAGGGGATTCAAAAATACTCACTTGATTACACCTTGAACAGGTCAGCCAATTAATAGTTCCCCAAAGACGCCAGTATACATCTCGCCATGATTTTAATTCTTCAAAAAGACTCAGGAGATACTCATGGATATCCCAAGTTTTATCTCTGTACAGAAAAATGAGCAACCAGTCAAGCAAATTAGAGGATTTCGTTTTTAATTGACTAGTCACTGTTGCACAGGTTGGAAAAAAATAAATTCTTTCACCTTTTCTCTCAGTGATTCTCATTGTGTTAATTTAATGATTAGCAATGTTTAATTATTGAATTAGATTACTGTTCAATTATATTATAAGAATCTAAGAATATTTCTGTTGATCAGGCCAAGGCCCATTTTGTTTCTCATAACGGACAACTAGATGAAAGAACAATGTCTTTTTCTGGAGAGTGGACATACATGTACCAAAAAACAAACTTTTGTTCTAAAGACATTTTCATTCTCATATGCAAGTGTATGTAACTTTATTAATTAGAGTGAATAAAATTTATTTATTGTAGTGATAGCCTTAATTAAAATAAAATATTTTAAGACAGCAGTCTCCACTTGGTAGTTTTCTATATATATATGGCATATTTAAAATGTTGTAAATGCAATGGTTTTATGGCCATTCACAAACTGGCTATCATGGGAGCATGGCCATTCAGAAAATATAGGGAGGATCCCCTCTCTTTACTTCCATTTTTCTTTCTCAAATACAAGAATAAAAAGGAACACACACAAGACAATATGAGAGGGTGTTTTTCTGTATGGCAAGTTTTTTCCCTTTGACTGGAAAACATACTTGATTAAAATGAACAAGAAGAAACCCTTTCTGTAGAACTGACTCAGAAAGCCTATTTTCAGCAGTTGCCTATTTTTAGCAGCAGCAGCAGCAGCAGCAGCAGCAGCAGCAGCAGCAGCAGCAGCAGCAGCAGATTTCCTATTTTATTCATTGATTTGAGGTTCAGAAAACTTTCACTCGCCAAAAAAATGGTGTGGGTGTATAACATCTCTTCTTCATAAATCCCTGCAGTTGTAGTGGAAGAGGAATTCGATTTGTCTCCTATTTTTTCTCTGGGTACTTTTTTCCTCTCTCTCCTTCCAAATCCGAGGAGGCGTAGCTACAGTTATCTCCACTGGAGAAAATAAGCTGGCTAGCATATTAATAGGACTTGGCAGGCAGAGAAGCAACCACAGGCACCAGCCAGAGATTGCAGATCTAAGGCATGTACTTGAAACTGGAGAAGCAAGCTTGAAGGCCGTGGTGGGCCATATTAAACAGATGATTAAGCAATTTGAATTCTAATGAACAAAGTCACCTTCCTGTCTAAACTGGCTTTTAAAAACTAAAGTTGAAAATATTAAAGGAGATTTTATTTTTTCTAGTTATTTAACATGAATTTTTAAAACTGCTTTTACAAACACTACATTTTCAGAATCAGACTAGATAGTAAAACAAACACATTTCACCTGTATTCTGCTATCATCATCATTTCGTGATGATTGCTATAGTGCAGGTAGTAAAATATAGACTCTGAATAGAGCTTAGGTTCTAATAACCTCATAGGCATATCAATATAATTTATTTGACAACAACATGGAAATGGTTGACTACTGCTTTCTTCCAAGGAGTTGTTTTGACTTCCCAATCTAGAATAGAGCCCTGGCATTTCCTGTTTGTCTTTCATCCAAATAGTAACCCAAGAATGACTCTGCTTAGCTTTTGTTGTTAGTCAAGGTCAATTAAGTATCTGGGCCAGTACAGGGATTACACTGATCTGCAAAATTATTTTGTTAATTAAGCTATATTTCAAAAGTCGTTGTTCCCTATTCAACTGAGCACTTGGTTAAAATGGTCAAGACCTGGAATAATAGACAGAGCATAGTTATGAGCTAAAACCTTGCTCTAATATATATTAAAAAGTCAAGATAAAAACACTAAAAATGTTGCAACAAAATGATTTGTGAAGCACCTTATGTGAATATAGATAATATTTCCATACTGATCCACATTAAGCTTTCCAGGAATACATGGGATTTTTCTTTCAGTATCCTTAATAAGAAGTTTCTTACATAAATAACACCTGCATAAAAACAAAGATAAGAGAATGATATTACAAAACTGCAATGAGCTATGGAACATATACCAAGGTAATGCAAATCAATGGAGAGCTCTGTACCTGTATAGGGTTGCAGCATTTCCCTTAGAATCTGCATTCTGATACTCTGGATCAAATAGTCTTTCTATCTTCTTACAGAAAAGTTTACTATTAGTTGCAAAAAAAAAAAAAAAAAAAAGGCTCATAAAAATGAGCTACCAACTATTTTACTCATATTCTAAATGTTACTTCAAAAACAGAGTAGAAAAGTGCTTATAATACTGTAGCAAAAGATTTTTTAAAAGCCTGTACAGTGTTTCTGGTTCATTGTATGGTATTTTGCTCTTTCATGTACTCAGTTCTTAATTCCTGATAATTATCTGAACTCAGTTACATAGGAGTAACTGTTCTGATGGAGCAAGGAATTTGCACAGATGGTTCTGAGCATTAGCTAGGAACTAAAGAGTGGCTCTGCCATATTCAAGGGATCTGAAATTGCCCAACCTCAACAACAACAAAATTCATAAGGTGACAGTGGAAGTCCACTCAATACCAAATACAGTTTGTTAAGGAGGCTGCTATTCAGAAACGTTTAGCTCAAATGGTACAGTTTTTGTTAGTTTCCATATAATAGGTAGAATGCCATTGTGAAATTGAAAAAAAAGAACCAAAGCACTGTCAGTTTGCTTACTAGGCAAAGACATCTGTTAAAGGTTGCCTAAGCCATCAAAACATTAACATTGCCTAAGTACAGATGGGTTTTTAGAAAAGAGAAGCAAGATGTATTTTAGTATCAGAGAATCCTTTCACTCGAACAACTACTCAAGGCACGATTTCAGATTAAATGATCTGGGAGAGATAGCTGTCTAGTCTCTGCATGAACATACTCTGAAGGGGAGCCTACCAACTTTCTGGGTAATTGGTTGCAATGTCAAACTGCTCTTACTCTTAGGAAGTTTTTTCTATCATTCAATCAAAATCCATTTTCCTGAAATTTATGTCCATTGTTCAATGTCCTGCACCCTGGAACAAGAGTGGACAGGTCTTGGCCTTCTTTTATGTGACATCTTTTCAGATATTTGAAGGTATTTAACATCCTCCTCAGTCATCTTTTTTCAAGGCTAAACCCTCCTCCTTCAATCTCTTTTCAGGGCTGTTTGATCATTTTTGCTGACTTTCTCTGAAGTCAGTTCCAACTTCTCAGAATCCTCTGAAAGTATGATGTCCAGAACTAGTCACAATAAAGGTGTTGTGTTCAGGAGGAAGGGCGGGGGGGGGAGAAATTTGACAAAAGAAGAATAGAATAGAATAATAGTACATTAATAGTTCATTGTGCTTGGCCCATTGGATCACTATGCTATACCCAAGCCAGGGAAATTTTATTTATTGATTGATTTCTATAATTTTGCTGAAGCCCAAACTTTGTTCTGGGAGTTCAATCATAATTAACAAAATATTGGTCTTAATTGCTCAATTAATGATATTTCTTTTGAACTAAGTGATGCTACAAATACAAAAGAATAGGAGACAACAGTAGGGTTTTGTTTTGCTCAAAAAATACCTCTTAAATTTATCTCTCTTGTCCTTCACCTCTTCTACTTCATTATGTGTGAAAAGATCGGTTATGCGTGTTAGTAGGTTAGCATTAATGCAGTTCATATTGCACGGCGTGGCCACAATTGTACTCATATTCTTGTGGCAATAATTAATACATTTTTCCACCTAAAAAAAAAAAATATAACTCACTTATTAGTGAATAGCCATACAAAAATTTCTTACAGTATTTTCATATTCCAAGTAAAGCATCAGGACAATCCAGTGACCACTGAAGATGAATCACTCAGACACTTTTACACACACAGATTCAAATACTTACTGTTACCTATTAAGGCTGGAATAGAGATGGGGAAGAACCTGTTGAATAGATGAGGCTGAGGCTAGGAGTGGGTGGAGACACTCCTCTCTTTTTCTGATGTATATGCACATGCAGACAAGAAACATTTTTGGTAGTTTCTGAAAAATTTGGGTTTGGTGGGAACTAGCAGTCAAAGAATATAATTTTCCCATTATCTATGAAACATCTAATTAGTAGGATGACCAGATCTCTAAAACCAGGAATACATCCATTTGTATTTAATTATTTTTTAAAAAAGATGGCAGCTAAAGTTTGGAAGGACTTCTCTAAGGAAGCAGCTTTAAATATTCCATACATTTCCTGTTCCCTATTGTGCTTGTATGATTTACTGGTCAAATCAAGTTAAAGGAAGCTTAACAAGCAACAGACCCTTCTATCAGTCAGGAAATAGAGAATGGATTAGTTCTGTTTTTCCATTCCCATCTCCCATCCCCTATGAGGTACACCCAAACTTGAATGAAAGAAAACTCAAGCTCTACCAAGAGAGCATGATTACCTGATGCCATTTCTATGACTATTGCTTCCTGTGCTACCATTGCCCCTCCAACTTGAGCACTAGTTTGGGACTGCAAAAATCCAGACAATAATTAGCAAAGTGCTAGAGTTTTCTATATCTCTATGCCACTGTCCACATTTTTGCCGCCCAAGTATGGTAACTTCTCAAGTATTATGTATGTGCAATGAGCAGCGAACACAGAAGTTGTTTTCTACTTTATTACTAGTAGAAGACAAAACCTATTGCTGTTCATGCTTTTTCTTGGCAATACCTCCCCCAAAACTGGAACTGTCCCAACCCCAGCAACCCCAGGAAGTCTGGTCATCTTAACATTGGCCAGGATTCTGTACTACAGTAACTAATCTTTGAAGATAACTTGGATATGATTGGACATCATAAAGGCCTATTTATACAGCATTTCTGCAGACATGAAGTTATTATTTTGAATGATACCATGCCCCTCCCTCAAGTCTAGTTTTTATGCACCTTATTCAAATTAAACATTAACTCTAATTATACATTTGTAAGTAAAAGCATAACAAATATAGCAAGAATGGGAAATGTTTGTAAATAATATATTGTCATCTTTGTGGAGTCCTTGGTGCTCTCTGAGCTTGGTTGTTTGATTGCAGACATTTCATTACCCGACTAGGTAACATCATCAGCGCTAGTGAGTGTGGGGTTTGTTTTTTGTTTATATACAGTAGTTTGCCCTGCCAGTGTTGGTGGGGGTGTGGTCTCTCCTTGGTAGTTCCTTGATTAGGGTATTGCTTTCTGCTTGTTTGTCTGCTTGATTGTTTGTCTCCTTGGTAATTCTTTGATTAGAGTATTGTTGTCTACTTGATTGTCTGTCTGGTGTTAATACTTGCTCATCTGGGTGTAGGTTGCTGAAGAGGATGTGGTCTGGTCTTTTTGTTTCCTTCTTAGCTTTCTTGTTCTCTCTTTTGAATAGCATATACATGTGATTTATCTCTGTGTGTCTATTGATGGCTGATGTGTCTGAGTGCCAAGCTTCTAGGACTTCCCTCATGTTTTTGGATTTAGCTTGGTCTAGGATACTCAGTTTCCCAGTTGAAACTATGGTTGAGTCTGTCCATGTGTTGTGAGATTAAGGAGTTTTCATCATGTCTTCTGACTGCTAGTTGGTGTTCATGGATGCATTCTGCTAGTCTTTTGGCTAGTGGCTGTTACAGTCCTTATACTGCATGTTGTAGATGGCTCCTGGTTATTCTTCTTGGGCTACTGAGTGTTTTGGTTTACTTAAGATGCTTAGGAGGGCTTTAGTTGGTTTGTGTGCTATAAGTGATGCCGTGTTTGTAATAGTCTGTTGGCTGTTTCTAAGATGTTTCTGATGTATGGCAGTGTTATCCTTTTCATAGCTAGTGCTGGTTGTGCTGTAGTAGGTTGAGTGGTCAGGCACTTTTTGATAAAGTTGTGTGGGTATCAATTTTGTTGGAAGTTGTTGTATAGGCGATCTGTTTCCTTTTTCCGGTGTTCTGGGTTGCTGCAGTGCATTTGTGCTCATTTGAATAATGTTCTTACACAGCTCCTCTTGAGGATCAATAAACAACCCACACTAACCAAGTTTTCGATTGTGTTTTGATAGTGTGGGTTGTTTTTCAATCATTTTCTATTTTAGATAGATTTTAATTTAATATAAATAGATTTTCTCCATAAAAGCCATCGGGAGGCATTTTTAATATCAAATATTATTTGATTTGGAATGAAAAGGATTAAATTTTTCTTTAAAATAAGACATGGAGAAAAAAGAAAACAATTACCCTTCCCTCAATGAGATACTTTTTTGAGTTAAGGATACAATCACCAAGATGCTAAGCCATAATAGTTTGTTTGGTTTTTCTTAGTGTAATGTTTGACCCCAGTTATCATGAATTATGTTTTAGCATTACATGGAAAGCAAGCTTCTCCTGCTTTTTCAGGGAAAGCAAGCTTCTTCTTTTTCAACTAATTATGGTAAAAATAAATCATAGCTTAGTATGATAAGCAAACATGATATTCCTCTTATACTGAGTACTAGTGAAAGGCTGAAAATCCTACTTAAAATTCTGGACAGTTTCCTACTATCTAAACTGAGCCAGGTAACTTTTGTTCCTGAGAACTGCGTTAGCCCCTGCTCTGCAAGCTAGACCACCGACCATGTTGGCACTGCTACCTCAAAAGGAAAAAAATCAAAACAAACATATAACCAATTTGTAGTCATAGTAAAGAGAAACAGTTTCTATATGACCATCATCTCTGAAACGAATACAGCATCCAAAACCACAGAGATAAAATACCTGCAAACGATTGCATTTTATTTATTTATTTATTTATTTATTTATTTATTTAAAAGATTTATATAGCTAGCCATCTTATGTACCATAATCCTGGGTAGCTCACAGAACAGTTGTAATGGGACTGTAATGGAATAACAAATGTAATGGGATGTCAGACCACACGGATCAGCTCTGTGGACTGTATGTTCCTATTCTAGATGAATTTAAAACACCAAAGAGACAGAATACAGTTAGTACAGTAGTTATTTCTACTGTATACTCACTAAAGAATCCATCTTCAGAAACTCAGAGGAAATAAGTATTGAAACGACATTGCTTGGTTCTAAAAAGAAACAAGAGAAGTGAAAAAGTATTAGATTTACAAACATTGCAAGATAATTAAAATTAAAGGAAACATTGTAAAAGATGCTTTGCTTCAGAAAATCCATATTCTATAGAAATGGAATAAAAGAAAGTTTGGAGATTTGTTTTGGGCCCTTCTATCAACTATCTTGACTTTGGATTATGCTTGTATAATTTAGACTTTTCAATTCTACTTACATTTATATCTAAATAATTATTTGCTTCTTTTTAATTTTTGTCCTAACATGCCAGCCAAAAATAATACTGTAGGGTTTTACAGATCACATTTTCATGACAAAGCAAGCCCCATTAAGCGAGCCCCACTAAACAACACTAAGAAACTAAAGAATGATATTGTAACTAAATCTCAAACAAAGATTTAGAGTTTAAATCCAAACACTTTTAAATACATTATACAAGCCCATTCAGTGTGGAATTTTGAGTTTCAAGCTATCAATCTCTCCTTTTTGAAGATGAAATTGTCTGTTTTCAGAGAGGAATGGGATCTCAACATTGAAAACTGAATTGAACAAAATACCAATTTTAAACTTTGATATATCTAACTTCAGTCCCTTGTGAATTAGATAGTATGCAAGTGCAATCAATTTTTAAAAATGTTTGTGCACTTTAGATCAACTATAAAGCTGGGTCAGAATCCATTTTAAAACAAAGCAGGCACACTATTATGGAAAGCCCAATTTCCCCCCACATATCTCTAACTTTCTCACTAGCATTGTTAACCTAGCTTCCTATTTTCCACCCCAGAAATACACCCTGCATGGTCTAAAAATATTTGTGCTTCCCTCTTTATATACAGTAAGGAAAGATCTGGTTTTAAACTGGATGTGGGGAATCTTTATGTAGCTAGAAATCATTCTTATTGATGATGATGATGATGACGACGACAAAGCCTCTGAGAGCCATGGGAGTGATTTGGTGAGATCACCTAAAGGAGGAGGGCTGAAATTATTGGTTCTGTTTAAGGGGTGGGAGTAGGGACTGTTTTTTTTAAGATAAAATGGGTGTTAAGCTTAGTGGAAATTTAAAGCATCTATTTTAACCTTTTTTAAGGTCGTACTGCAATGTTATATGATTTGAGGAACCAAGGAAAAATGGGGCCTGTGGCCTCTTCTATTGCTTATCCCTAGTTTCAATTAAACAAATCTGTTGCATTATCATCATCTACAGATTTTAATATGTGCTATACAGAACATAGGAGAGAACTAACTACTTGAACAAGATATTTTTTAAAAGAGATCCTTGAAAAAGACGTGCTAAAAAGTGTTTGATGAAGTCAGAATCATATATATTAATCCCATGGATTTCAGTGAGGGGAAAGCTGAGTATACACTTAAATCTTCTACTCATTTCCCCTGGAATTAATCCTGATTGATTGTATCAAAAACATTCTACTTGAACAAAGTTTCTAAACTTTTAACTTGTTCAGTCTTGAGTCTGAAACAAGCAACATTTCAAAACTTTAAACAAGGACAGAAAATAATGCTTTACCTCTAAAGTGGGATATTGCCATACCTTTATTGTGCAAGAGCCACATGGAAAAAAAAAGCTTTGAGTGTTTCATGAGATGCCGTAGCGGGGAGATGAGGCAGGTAGAAAATATTAGATTGAGTTACTGAAAGGTCTATCCTCAGATCAGTGACTTCATAATCAGACTACCACTGATTGTCACAGTCATAGCATTTTAGGAAATGGGGTGATTCTATAGGTTAAGAGACATCCTTAGTTTGATTCTTTCCACCTCATTTTCACCCAGTCTCATCCTGAGAAACTGAGGTGACTATGTTTTACGAAATATATTAGCTGAGTGCCCAAGCCTAGCAACAATATATTTTATTTAAATATTAATTAAACTATTTACTTCTAATTCTACAACTACCATTTCCACATATTCAGAATGGCACTGCATCATTCCTTGTTACTCCTCCCTAGCATTAATTATCTATTTATACACACACACACACACACAGAAATATATATAATCTTTCTCTCTTTTCTTCTAAAATAGGGGCAGATATTCCTCACCACTGGGGCAATTATCATTGCCGATTTCTTCACATTCTGTCTCAAAAAAGATGACAAGTAATTTAATTTTTTTATAAATCAGATTTTAAAGTAGGGTACTTAGAAAGCTCTGCACCAATTTTTATAAAATTTGGTATACTTCATCCCTAAACATTTGCACCAAATCCATGCATTGATTCAGACTGGATCAGCTATGGAGTAAACCAGACCACATCAAACCATTACCAAATTTCTGGATCAGATCCCAAATTAGATTGCGTAGTTCTTGTACATAGAGTGTAAAATAACAGGGCCATAATTATTTCTCAAAACCTATGAATGAGAATGAAGGAGATAAAATGGGAGCCCCCAACTTCTTAACTATTGTAAACAAATTAAGCTGTGTAGCACTGGTACTATATCCATTTTATAAGAAATTAATCCCGTTAAACTTTCTCTCTTATTTCAGTTTTCCCTGTTATTAAAAATTAGGCTTTTATCATCAAAAGCAGAACAGGAAAGGAAAATTACCTTTCAAAGCCATTTTTGCAATCAGACTTTTGGTCTGATGTAGGAGTCAGGTTTTCAAAAAATTTGTGGCAAAAATGAATAGATTTTCTTTTACCTAAGGTGGGTATTTCATCAACCTCATATTCCTTAGTGTTCCTTTTAACATATCTTATCAACCAGTTAAAGATGTGAACGTCACAGTGAACTGAAATGTCTACTTCTTCCCAGCGTTGGGCATCCATTGATAGATATTCAGCAAAGTACTTCATTTCAGAAATCAATAGATCTCGTGGACAAACAAAATCTTCCTTCAGATTTTTTGCTTCATCACACACATGGATCACCATATTTGGCCTTTATTTAAGAGGGAAAAAATCATAGGGAGGAATATTATTATTTTTATTATTTGGAATATTAGAATAATTTGTGAAAATTATCCTTCAATTTTAAGTTTAGGTACAATTTTACACTTATGGAAATATATGTTCTTAGACATACACGTTATAGCTTAAATAGTACTTTCACGAAACCATAACATGGATTTTCAAGTTATAATGACATTTTAATGTATGAAAACAGTTAAGGAAAACTAAAATATGAAAAAGTCCGTGGAATACTAGAACATATTTGGCCTAGTGGACCATGGGCTGAGTGAACACGTATTCAAAGCACATTGTAGCTTTGTCTGATAAGAAACAAAAAAACCTTGCCTCCTGAATCCTCCATAATTATGGAGATGGGTAAAATATGTTATTATTGGGAAATAGACCAATATAGCTTCATTCCATTTCTCCAGAATAAAATTAAGCAAAATGAAACATTCATAAACATGCTTAACTTATGTTCTGTGTGTCTAAGGATTTGGGAAGGCAGAATAGCAGATACCACATGCAGCCCTGTTATTCATATACAAATCTTCTGCCCAAACAGAAATATCTAAACTCAGTTTTATTTATTATGAATAGTTCACTGAACTGCCCTTAAGAACTATCAGGGATCTGCGATGAGCAAAACATAATCAGCATCTGGAAAAGTCAGGCAGGATGGGCATGCTTTGGGTCCTGTTGGCTGGGACCCATGGAATGCTGGTTGGTGGGGCCAAGAAGACGTGCCTTTTCTGCTGTAGTGCCTGCCTTATGGAACATTCTCCCCCAGGATGGCCCCAACCCTGTTGGCTTTTCATAAGTCCTTAAAGACCTGGCTCTGTGCCCAGGCTTAGGGTCCCAAGTGCGTGCAGGGACTTGTTTCTTGGTTATTTTAGCAATTATGATGTTTGATTTGTTCTTGGCTGCTATGTATTTTAATTTTTGAATTACTGTAATTGTTATTTTCTTTTTAATTTTGTTCACCACCCAGAGTCACTTGTAGAGATAGGTGGCCACACAAATTGAATGAACAAACCAACAAACAAACAAATAAATAAAATGGAACCAGGTGTGCAGTCTGGAATTTCATTTTCTCCAATACTGGGCATATTTATTATGTTATCTATACTTTTCCTCCTAAAATTCAAGAAAATATTTATTTATTTGATTTGTCCCCACCCATCTCCCCACAATATACACAGTTCTTTCTCCACCCCAATTTAATTGTCATCAGAGCCCAGCAATATTGATTATGCCAAAAAGTATTGTTTCTCTCAAAGCCATCCATGGAGCTTTATTGCTGAGTGGGGATTTGAATCTAAGTTTCCACAATTCTAGTCTAGTAGTGTTAACAATTGGACCAATCTCTTTTAGATTCCATTGAAGACTATTTGTCTTCTGAAGACAAAAAGTACAAGAAGTTAGTGCTTTTAGTCCTTTATCTAATAGTTACATCTAGGTAAAGTTACCTTGTTTGTCAACTAATTATGATTTTTTTAAAAAATTCCTATATACAGAGTCTTTTTTTTGTGCTGAGGAGTGGGAAGCAAAACAGCAAAGAGAAAAAGAAGCACTTTTGCATAGAAAAAAAGATACTCGAATAAAGTTTCACCTTCTATGCAAATGAACGAGGAAGATCTGGCAGACAGTGAAAGTTTCTGTAAGCTCCACACACTGTAACCTTCACTCCTAGCAGAACTCATTTGGCTAAAAAGGCAGGCTCTGAGGGCTTATGAAAGCTGCTTACCTTCTACAATCACAACCATAAGGAAATTTTTCTAGATAATTTATCACAGAACTTCTAAATACTGCAGACCATTTTGGGGTATTTCCCCTTAGATAAAATCTGTACCCAAGCAACAGAGAAATAGGCTTGCTATGAGTCTGTTGTCAACTACATTGACTCCTTGAGAAAACTGAGAATTTATGAAAAATCTTAGTATGCAAACTGTTTTTCAAAGACTCCCTGAATAAAGCTGAAAGAGATAGTTGGTACTGATATTTTCAGAGTTCACTGCGGAAACAATAGCAGAAGAAGGACAGAAGTGCTAAGCGCTGATGCCTTTTTACAACTGAGGCTGCCCTTACTGAAAATGACACACAGGAATCTTAATTCCATTTGCTAAGGTGACACAGAGAAAAGGTGCCCTGTCACCCTGGGCTAAAAATTTATTTCTCCAATTCTATTCCCAGGCTACAATCTAATGCCATTTCTACTAAACTATAAGATGCATTATAATTATGTGAATATTAAGTGCTCAAAAACTAGAGTACAGATAGTCCTTGACTTACGACCATTCATTCAGTGACCATTCAAAGTTATGAATGTGCTGAAAAAAATGACTTATGACTGGTGCCGAAAGTTACCAGCTGTTGCAGTGCCCCGCAGTCACGTGATCAAAATTCAGGTACTTGGCAGCCTGCCTGCACTTACAACCAAGGAGCACTTCAACTCTTCCATCTGCCTATCTCTTCCCCATCTATGCCCATTTGGGCCCCTGCCACCCTGTGCTCCATCGCCCCAGCTGACTTTCACTGTCGTTTTGCTCCAAAATGCCCCTTTGCAAAAAGCTCCCAGGCAAAGCTGGGCTGGGCTTTTTTTGTGTGCTGTGGAAAAAAAAAGAAGCACCTGAACAGCTGCATGCCAAAACGCCCCTTTGCAAAAAGCTCCTGGGCAGGACTGGACTGGGCTGGGCCTTTTTTTTTTTCCCCCGCAGCACAAAACAAAAGCCCAGCCCAGCCCTGCCCTGCCCTGCCCAGAAGCTTTTTGCTGGGTGTTTTGGTGCACTGTGCTCCAGAAGCTTTTTGCAAAGGGGCCTTTTGGAGCAAGAAGATGGCAAAGGTCATCCAGGGCGGCAAAGTGCAGGGTGGCAGGGGTCTCAGAGTGCAGAGTGGCAAAGGTGACTGCGGCTGGGACTGGGCTGGGGTGGCTGCTGCTTCCCGGGGCATGGCAAACAGACCTAGAGCTGTGCAGTTCTGGGGCTGCTTGCCACTCCACAAGGCAGGGTGCAAGGTGGCCAGAAGAGCAGAGATGGGGGGACAGATAGGCAGGTGCGGGGAGTTGGAGGTAGTCCTTTAACTTACCGAGGCTCGCGGCTGGGAGGGACCAAGCCCAGAATGGCTTGGACTGGGGTGGGTACCTGCTTAACAACCCATGATTCTCAGTTAATGACAGCAACCGGGACTGCCAGGATTGCATTCGCTAAGTGATGCAGTCACCCTATCTCTCACTTTACAACTGCATTGCTTAGCAACAGAAATTCTGGTCTCAACTGTGGCTGTGAGTCAAGGACTACCTGTATTTTCAAAACTGAAATTAATTGGATATGCTATGACTCTGTAATATCTGTAATGTTTTCAGTCCTGAACATATATTTTCACAAGGAACACCTTAATTATTTGGAATGCTTTTTTCCCTTAGCAAGCCAACATAATGCTCCACACACAAAACCCAGTCCCTCCCTCTGAAATTCCACAAAATATAGAGAAATAGACCAAGTGTAAAAGTACACAGAAAACAGGTGTCAGAAACTAAGGTTAATCTAGCTGTCTAAAACGAAACAGCCATCTTCCTACCCTTCAGTTTCATCAGCATTTTCTCCACCTTTAAGTGCAGGGCATTTTTCATTTTCTGAAGAGCAATTCCTTGAGGAAACTATACTTGGCTTTCCTTAAATACAAGTGGGGAGAAAAAGCATTAGGTCATAACGTTGAGATGCACTTCTCATGTCTGGTAAGCAGTGTGCCTAGTCAAAGGAAGATGTGATAGTTAATTTTTAGATGAACATTAAGGTAATTAATGTTTTAATGTATTTTCAGAAGAAAGGTTCTTTAAAAAAATTAATACAATCCAAGTAGAAGAGAAAGTAAAGGACTAAATCTTTTTAATCACAGGGTTTATCTGTGCTTGCAAGAGAGAAAGAAAACCAGCGCAAACACTATGCACTACACATTGTCTATTACGCTTTATGGGAGAGCAAGAACAAACTTCTGTGTTTCATAGTGCTGGACCAACATACCACCTCTGAATTATGTATAACATAATAGTCAGTGCAATGTGGCAGCTACCTCTGCCTCTGTCACATGCTTCCTTCTTTGCCAATTCCTTGCTAAAATACAAATGAACATTTTTTAAAAAATCCATTATAGCAATGCCTGTGTTTCTTTTCTCATTTAACATAATGCTTCCAATTCCAAAAATGATAATACTAAATCTCTGACTACAGAACAGGACAGATAAAATAGGAACGCTGTAGATTCCTAACAAGTTATGTACAAAACAAATCCTTAAAAAGAACAACACCCAATAGCAACAGGATAACTCTTCATTTATGTTATTTGTATTATAGACTTGTCTAAATGTTAATATCCTAAATAGCTATACAGCCAGCTTTTTGGCTGGTAAATTGTAAAGTACAGAATCTTTCCTTCTCCCTTACTTAAATCAGCAGGTTATAGGAGATCACCGATTTCTCCACAAAATTTTAATGTAGTCTCTTTCTTTTCTTACACTTTTTAGCGTCTATTACTCACTCTTTTATACAACATGCCCAATTTTGTCTCCTTCATACTATATATCGTTCTCTCACACATACGCTTCCTCTCACTCATGCTGCTTTCTAGCTGTGGCTTATTTTTCTACGCCTATGCATCTACTGTTTGGATAAGAGCTCATCCTGAGATATATGCCACCATACTGGCAGCATTTCTGACATGGTCTCCGAGCAGCTTGCACAGTGCTCAGCATCTAGCACTATCTTGAGTGATAATGGTACTCCAATCTCAGGCAGTCACCTTTTCTCAGCCATCCCTGAGAACCTGGAATCCCACTCAAAGCTTGTCTTCTACCACTAAACGTTGTACTATAATATTAATTTAGACACCTATGTGCCTTAATATCTTGGCAGATTCATTATGTCATTTTGTTATATAAGGCAGCCTTCCTCAGTTTATAGACTATAAATTGGCTGGAGACATCCCTGGAAAGCACCAAGTTGGGAAAAAGCTGATAAAGGGTTAATTGTAGCTTGGATGTTCACACACAGGCTTCATAAAGCAAAATAACCTCAGCCTACAATAAATCATTTGTATGGTTCTGTTAAATGTGTAACAGAAGTATTATATACTTTCAAGGAGCAATTGTTTTAACTACTTTTAAGTGTACGTACACACAGAAGTCAAGTTTCTTAATTTTTAAAGCCACAAAACTTTTGGCAGAAAATTGATATATGGTTTAAGAAAGTCAATATTAAACTAGGATGGATTTTTAAGATTAATCTGCAGAGTGGAACCATGTATTGACAAAAGCAATCTATATATCAACAGGAGAAAAATGGCATGCATGATGTTATGAACACAACAGCAAAAGTGACTAAAGCCTACCATTTAGAGAAATCGCATCATTTTCACTAGAAGGTTCTTGTATCTCTTCCTGGGCATCAAGAAGTGATGATTTAATATAACAAGCTAGTGTTTCCACAGGTTTCACACCACTAGCCATTACTGGATTGAACTGGTTATCAACTGGAGAACTTCCACTGCTTTTCAGTTCATCAAACCTTTTTGCACACTGTCAAAATATAATAGAGAAAGTATGTTTAGTTAGATGTCTTGCCTTGCCTAGGATTCTGAGAGCTGACTAATAATTAATAACATAAGAAAAATACCTCTGAACCAGGCCAAGGCCAATCCTATTTCATTTCTTACCAGGGACAACCAGATGCCTCTGAGACAATCACAAGTAAGAAATGGAGACATATCCCTCTTCTGCTACTGCTCTCCTATATCTAGTATTTAAAGAGACTCAACCTAGATATATCAAAGTCTTCATGGAAAGAAAACTGTTCAGAAACTTTTTTACATGAATTTATTCAATCTCCTTTTAAATACATGCAAATCGGTGTGATTTGTCTTATGGTAAAGAATTTTACATGTTAATTAAAGGTAAAAAAAGTTTTTTTTTCTGGTTCCATTCTCCTTTCAATAAGCTTCATTGGATAATTCTTGATTTTAATGTTTTGAGAGAGGGAAAAAATTTTCTCCCTATGTGTGTTTTCCATGCCATATATGATTTTATATACTCAATTATGTACTTTTTTAAAAATTAATTTTTATCAAAGAAGGTTTTTGTGAAGTAAAATCAATACAAATTTAAAGAAAAAAAGAAAGTAAAGAAAAGTGATAAGTAAATAGAAGATGAAAGAAAAAGAGAAAAAGAAAAGATATAAAGAAGTGGCTTCCGATCTTCTTTATAGCAGTTACAAAAGCATGTATATTTTATCCTCTCTCTAAGGCTACATCATGGCTCTCTTCTTTCCATATTTTACCCTTTCTAATCGTCAAACCCATAAATTATGTACTCCTTCAACTGCCTTTTTTTTAAGCTAAAGAGGCCCAAGTATTCTAAATTTTTCTCCTAAAGAAGGTGTTCAACCTCTTTGATCATTTCACTTGCCTTCTTCTGAACTTTTTTCTGTTTGCTTATAGCCTTTTTCAATGGGCTGACCAGAAATTAACGCAGTATTCCAGGTGCAAGCATACCATGGATTTGTATAAAGACATTACAACATGGAAAGTTTTAGTTTCCTAATGATCCTTCGTAGGGAATTTGCCTTTTTCACAGCTGCTGCACATTAAGTGAACATCACTGAGCTATCCACTAAGACCATAAGATCTTTTTCCTGGGTGGTTGCAGAAAGCTTAGGTTCTATCAGTGTACGTATGCAGTTGCGGGGAGGGATTGCCCCAGTGATCACTTTATATTTACTTAAAATGAACTACATTTGTTATTTAGTTGGCCAGTTACCTATTTTAAAGACTTCCTTCTGGAACTCTTCACAATCATTTTTGTTTTTAAACACCCAAAATAGTTTGGCTGTGTATCACCTGCAAACCTGGCCAGCTCACTGTTTTACCCTAAATCAAGATCATTTATGAACAAGTTGAAAAGCTCCCATCACAACAAAGATCCTTGAGGGACTTCATTTCTTACTTCCCTCTACTGAGCAAAATTACAGAGGTGTTGGAAGAGACTGGCTAGGGGTAGAGTGAGAGCCGACAGTGAGGGTGAGCTGGAGAACCATGGAATTGGAGGAGGTAGAGGCTACGGCACTGCAGTAGTCAAAGATGGGATCTACCAACAGTAGTTGGAAGTCTGTCTGAGCGTGGATCTGGACTGCAGAGGTGCTGTGAAGACTGGCTAGAACTTGATGGTTGGGTGGGCTGGAGTTGGAAGTTTGTCTTAGGGAGCTGCCATAGTTGCCTGATTTCTTCCCTTGAGCTGCCAAGTGTTTGAGGACAAGTGCAACCTGAGGTGGGGTTGGAGTGCTGCTGTCGTGTTCTGGCTTCAGTGAAGGGAGTAAACGCTCATACAAGTGGCAGGTAAAATGCGGGCATGATGCAGGCACTTGGGGAAGAGGCTTTCAGAAGTCCTGGAGGGAGAACACACACTGTGAAAGGAGCTTGGTAAAAAATGCAGCGAGGAGAGCAAATGAGGGGAGGCACGAGGAGAGGTTTGCCGAACAGAGAAGAGGTTTTGCCCAGTCTCAAAGGTTTTGCCCAGTTCTGCAACCAGAAATTCTTCTAAAAGAAATGCATGGGTGACCTACATAGTATACAATTGATCTCTGGGTTAGGGTCTCATTCACAAGCCATAACAGGAATTTGAAAAGATACATTTAAGCAGTTTGTATTATAGTTTATTATGACTGAAGTTACCATGATTAGGATGTAGTAATCTGTTCAATTAGGAAAATACATAATCTGTGATTAAGATAACTAGAATGCAGAATATGCCAAGACAGCGAAACTAACGTGAAACATTGTTCTAAAGCATTACACTTTGCCAACAATCCATAGTATAAACTCTGAAAATACATTCAGGGCAAGTACCCATTGGTAACACAATAGACAACTAGCCATATCACCCTGACAACTTCTCCAAAAGCCCGAACATAGATACATACGTTTATTGGATTTCTACCCCACCATAATCTAGTCAGACTCTTGACAGCTTACAAATAAGATAAAACACAAAACATCAAAAACAACAAAATATAACCCAAAAACATAAAACATACAACCCATATGTTATACAAAAGTCAGTATTGTAAAATGATCAGGACTGACACTTAAATTGAATTGACAGGGCCAATGAATACCTAAAATCTGTATATTCAGGCTTTACCTCCAGTAATGGAAGGTACTCATTGGTCCCATTATTTCAATTGCCCAGAGTCACTAGCAGTTGGGTGGCATATAAATTTAATTAAAAATAATAATTTCAGTAGCAATAATCTTACATAGTATTGAGAAGCTTCTAAAAGTGATAGTCTACAAAACAATTAATATCCATGATATCAGTACTAAATGGTATCTGGCCCAAATTTTCAAGAATTATTTGAATCTTGTTCTTCTCTTTGTAATTCTAGATATATTTTAGTAATCACACACTCCTTTCTCCTGTTCTATTTTTATTTATTTCCCTACATTTGAGAATTTGGGTTGAGTCATGGTCTAGGCTTGCACACAGTACTAAGCCATGATTTGTTTATTAGGCATAATGGCTGATATCATCCTTGACAATAAGCCATAAACTATGTTTTAAAAATCACAATAGCTAGATGTATGTCATGTTAAACCACCAACAAATGAGCCACATTATAGCATAACATGATTTTGAGCCCAACCATGATATAGAAATAAGATATCAAGAGAAAATGGGTCCTACTGCAAGTTTGCTCCTTAGCAAAGTAAAATTAAACAGGAGTTCTTGAAATGAAAAATAGAAAGATAACTTGTACATGTCATTTAGTTTTTCACAGCCTTTATATATACTATGAAAGAAGTGGAAGGTGTATCATATGTGTATGCACATATGTGTGCAAGTGTGTGTGTATGTATGCATGCGTGTGTGTGTGTATATATAAAGATACTATTAAGACAGCAAGAGGATTGTGCACAGAAGTTCCACTTGACTATGGTTTTTGATTTAATCTGCTATCTTTATATTACTAATGTAAATTACTATATATTTCCATTAACTGAAAAAGATTTATGATATTAAACATACATCGAGCTGCAAAGAGCAGAATAAATAATTTTCCTCTCTTGTCTTAAACTGCGGTTTCAGAAGCAGTTGTCAAAATACTGCTGTATTGGAAAATTTATGTACAAACACTGAATTTACAGCAGACCTATGACATACATAGGAACTAGTAAGCAACATCTCCAACTTGAACTTACTTAGAAATAATTTTTCTGCCAAAGTTGGGAAAAGAAAAAGAAGCCTACCTCTTTGGATGAATAGCCTGGAACCAATCTTGCCACACTGTCCCAGTTGATAGGTTGAGGAACCCCAATTAAAGAACAAAGAATCATATCCAAAACCATTTGATTACTGTCGTATGGGACGTTATTATTTTCTATATATCCACGATTCATTTTTTGGCACTGGAAAAGACATGAAAAAGTTAAAAATTCTCACAATGCTTAAAGAATTTTGGTCTGCCTAATTATATAGTAGCTGTTCTGTATCCTATAAGGAGAGAGAAGCATTAGAGCCCATCTTTCTTTGGATAAAATGCACCCAAAACTATCTATCTATCTATTGTATAGTTGCCAACAGGGTGAGTCTTACAACAAAGCCACATAGGAACATTATAGCGTCCATGGGCACCACCTTGGAGAGCTCAGGATTGCCCCATCACATTGTTATTTCCTATGCTGACCCACCTCCCTCCATCCTGCCACATCAGGCTGGTATGTTCACTAGTCACACAAGATAACAGCTATGGTATAAATATAGAAAAGTAAAATATATAACATTTGATATTAATATGGTAGAAGTTTATCAGGCAGTTGAATTATCGTGGAAGTAATTTAGATACCATTTGAGTTCAGTATTATCCCCCCAAAACAGAATAAAAGAAAAGTTTTAATTGAAGTGATAGATACCATTTATTATATATATAAAAAAGCAGCACTAAAATGGATGGTTTTGAACAATTCTGTTCTTGCAAGAATACAGATCTCAAATCTGAAATCTCACTACTGTACTCAGGCAGCATTAACTCACATCATTCTAGTATTTTTTTTATAATCAAAAATAATTTTGTTTATTTATTTCGGCTGTAGGCCAGCACAAAACTAACAACATAGCAAGAAGTAAAAATTAAAAATCATATTGATAGAATATTTATTAAAATAAACCTCGCTAAAAAGAGGTTTAATAGCTACAGTACTCGTATGGGATCAGATCTAGTCTTAAGGCTCAATGTTTTCAAGGAATTTACTACCCAACCTATCAATTTCAGTATCACACATTTTAAATGGTATGCCTTATCTAGATTACTAAAGTGAGTTCTCTGTTAGCATACAAGTTTTTAAAAATTACTCAGAGACAGAACACTGACAAGAAAAGACAAGAAACATTAACAAAATCTAAACATTAGAAATGTTTCTGTACCTTCAGTTTTCTGACAGCATTGGAAGAAATGCAGCCACATATAGAAAATGTCCTAGTATTAACATTTATCAGAAATGGTAAACTGGGGATATGATAAACTAAGCAACTGTCAGTCAGTCCAACTTTATTTCAGTCAAAGACCAGTATAGAACAAAACAATTAACAAACTGTTTAAAAGTAAAAGAGGAGGACCAAACATAAAACACAAGCTAAAAGAATAATACAGAATATTGTCACTGTTACCACTGTACACTATGTCTCTAGGACCAAAACAACCCAGAATATTATTTGTCTAAAACTAAGAAACTAAGCAATTGGAGATCATCTGCCACATAATTATTTAGAATACAGGTACTCTTTTTATGTGAAAATAATAGCATTTTAAGGGCGGGAATTGCTCTCAATCCAATATTGTCCTGTACCTTTGTGAAGAAATATAATCTCTTTCAAACAATTTAAGCATTATCTGAACATGGAAATGATGAAAAATTAAACCTTATAGTCCTGTAATTGGATAAATGAATTAACTTGAAAAACCTACCTTTTTAAAAATTAGGTTAGTGATGCTAAACTGAATTCCAGAAAGCACTGTATACTTAAAACAAAAGGTCCTTCTCAGAACAAAAGCTGAAAAAAGTTTTTAAAGCATCCTCGCTCTACATCACCATTTTGCTGCAGTATGCTCGGATTACTGCAATTCTTAAAAATTGCAGTGATTATTTAGCTGGAAGCAGCATCTTTCCAATGCCTTGAGTGGCTTTAAGGCCTCATCCCTGGTTAATTTCCTGACAGCTCTAATCCCTTGTTGCATAAACAGATGCAGAAAACGGAATATCAGGGACGGAAAAGGAAACAGATAGTATCAATTACCTGAAGTATGCTTCAGTAGAATCAGGGCGTGGCTTGCAAACCAGTAGGTTAAGTGGCCTGTAGATTCAAAATGTAGAGAAAGCGTCTCACAAGCTTAAGCAAAAATAGTACATAAAAAGGGGGGTAAACCAAAGAATTATAACTTGAGGGGAGGCAGAACCTCAATGTTAACTTTATCACACATTTTCAGAAAGCAAATCGCTGTCTTCAGTTCTAAGTTTAGAGAAGACTGCACTTGACCCTCCTTGCTATAAGAGCCGGCATTTTTTTTCTTTCTCTGAATCTTCCTTCATCTCTTCATCCACCCCACCCTTTTTTGTGCAACGAAGGTAAGAAAGCAGGAATCGCTCCAACACGCTGGGGCGTCGCTACCGCTTCACCCACACAAAAGCGGACAGAACTTTCCTATCTATCCGCTCCTCCGGACATCACACACACGCGCAAATATACAACCCTCTCTCCTCAAACCCGAAGACTTCTCCCATTATTTTGTTATAGTAAGAAATTATATTTTTGTTTTAAGGTGCACATCAATTTCCCAGGCAACAGAAACATTACTCAATCATTTTCATTTTCTGAACTTTCCACCCTCAGGATTGGGAATAACAGCAGCAATTTTTAAAAATCCTCTAAGGAATTCAGGTACTGAATTCTAACAATAGCATCATAACATTTTCTCTTTAGGAATGAATTTTAATATTAAAAAACACTGGAAATCAAGAGGCTCACCGTATTTAAAAAAAAAAACACAGAATGACTTAAAATAATGAACCGTTTTAGAAACACCGCTACCTAAGAAAGTCAGATATTACGCAGTCAAATAAACCATGAATTAGGGAAGCTTCTGCTCCATCGCATTCACTTATACCAAATTGGGAGGCGGCGGAATTGTGCCATTTTTATAGCTCTCACTCACCCACCCACCTGCTCTCCCAGCCTTTGGCAGTCCACTCCACCTCTTACTACCGCCCTTTTCTGATTAAAAAAAGAGACCGATACAGGGGAAGGGAAGTATTCAGTCATTCACACCCTAACTAGCCAATCCACGCGCCGCACCTCGCTATATCACGCCTTCCCGGGGGTCCCAACGGGCCAATAGCAAACCAGGAGAGCTAGCGCACGCGCGCCTCCTCTTCGTTTTTGTCGCAGTGCAGCGGCCTCTTCTCTTTTCACCAACCTCTTCTCTCACGCCTTCTTCCGCCCTGCCCTTCCGCGTCTGGTAGCCTAGCAACAAGGACAGTGCCCTATAGTTCCAGCCCAGGCCAGTTTTCTAATCCGGGCTCTCCCCGGCTGAAAAGATGGAGTAGTGGAATAGGAAGGAGCGACGGGGAGGATTGATTGCGAAAGAGAAGAGCAGTTTAGAAAAGGGCATAAGGTAGACCGCCTCGCGCCTCATGTGTCTTTGTTGTATCGTCATTTGGCCCGATAATGTAACTCAGACCAACCTTCATAAAACATACTGTTACCAAGATGCAAGATTAATGGATGCGGCCTTGCAACCAGAAGTTGACCGATCTTACCCCTATCTTTTTAAATGTGCAGTTAAAATTTGCTTGCAAGTCAATATTTATTTTCTTCAGTTAAAATTCTATCAAGCTGTGTGGTCGCTAAGAGTAAACACAGGCCTGATAGCACATAATCATAATTAGAAAGTACATTAACCCTAACTATGTAACTTTTATATGCCACCATCTGCCAAAGTCCTTTCCATTTCTCTTGATCTGAGCAGTTTCCACCTGGGTGAACTCATTTTAGGCCTGCCGTTCTATCTCCAGTTTGGGACCATGATTATTGTCATTCTTAGTGGGAGATTTGTCAAAATTGCACCCCAAAAAAGTTAGGAGAAAACGTTAATTTGGTTTGAGTCAGGCATAGTTCTGATTATGAAACTCCCGAAGGGAAATGCACTCTGGATATGCTCAAATATAATGTTTCTTGTTCCAGGTAGCAAAATGTTTAGGATGATGAGTGGGGAACGCACCAAGTAAGAAGCTTCAGATTAGTGGATAGTACTCCCTGTCAATGAGGTGTGATCCACTGTCAAAAGTGGAGAGCAAATCTTGATCTCACATCAAAACTGTTTTGTGTGGAAGGCAGTATTTGCTGTATACCTGCTTATACTAACTACTTAGAAACAAACCTGTTCTTATCTCCATAGCTTCATGCTTGCTTCTGCTTTGGGGTCACTTTAGAATGTGATGAATGGAATGCTGGGAGTTCATTTATTAGGTCTCCTTTCACAATCAATTCTAGTGGGCTTTTATATAAATAATTAAGCCTACCGAACAGTTTTTGAATATGAAATAATGATACATGCAAAATTACAAATCCAGGCAGGCCATTAGTATTCCTGAACTGTTTTCAAACAGTTTCCCTGGAACAGTTTTTATGGACATGGCTGTCAAGCTGAGGGTTCCATCTTACAACTCTTAATCAAGCAATGGAAATCAGTTCCAGTCAACTGGAAGTGAATCCATGATAAAAAGGAAAGTGTGAGGAATAAGTGCCTGACCTGAAGTTTTCTCAAAGTGTCATTCATGAAATACTCTGGCATCTAATTTCAGCTAGAGTAAAGCACAGAATAGAACTATTCAAATATTTTAACTTTGGTATGTGACTGGTAGACAATCTTACCTGATATAATTGTATCTGAAAAGTTTTATACACAAACACCAGATTGTCCAAGCAGAACTGTTTTGGGGCAATGTTGGGCTTCAGGGTTTATTGACCATGGTCTAGACAAAAGATTTCCTGACTTTTCACTGGCAATTGTGCCTGGCACCTTCAGATAACAGACTACCTTGCCTGAAAGTGGTCACTAAATCTTGAAGCCCAACTCTGCCCAACAGATACTGGTGGTAAAAGCCTACACCAGTATATAGAACTGTGTTTGTTTATAATGAGACCTCCCCAAGAAATAAATTAAATTTTGTTGTTGTTCAGTCGTTAAGTCGTGTCCGACTCTTTGTGAT